CCCGCCGCACCCCGGTCTCTTCCCCGAGTGGAAGGGCGCGCCCGGGCAGTTGTGTGCGTGGGCGCCCCCCTCCCCCCCCGGCGCGCGGGGGGGGTCCCGTCTCAAGAGGCAACAGGCCGCTGGGCACTGCACCAGCCGTCCAGCCTCATCATTGTTGTGGTTTGTTGCTGTTTCTGCTCCGGCTCTCATCGCACAATTTTAATCGTATGTTTCTCTTTTGCCCTCTCCCCTCCCTCCCCCTCCCCCTCCCCCTCGCCACACTCTGCCTGCCTCCCCTCCCCGGCCCGCCCCGCCCGGTCTATATGTCGTCGGTCCTGTGTTCTTCTTCGCGAGGCGCGCGCACATGCACACACACACACACGTCCGATCGTTCCTCCTGTCAAGCCATGCCCCTCCGCGTGATGGCGGCTGGCCTGTGCAGTAGCCTTGCCGTCGCCGGGGAAGCATGCGCCGCGTGTCGCGCGATGCTCGCCGCCTCCCGCTTGGGCGCGACCTATCCCCCTCCTCAGCCCGGCCCACGGGGGGGGGATCACGCACGCCGGCCTCCTCTCTGTTCCCACCTCCCAGGCCTCTGATGGGTCCTCTCGCCCGCCCGCCCCCTCCACGGCGCGTGTATGCGCCTCCTCACCGCCGGTGACACGTGCGATCTCCGTGGAGCCGATGGCCAGGAGCCGGGAGGAGGCCGTGTGCTGTCCCTCGGCATGTGTCTGTGGATTTGCCCCCTACCGCCGCCTGCCCCTGTGGTGCCCATCGGATGTTCTTTCGAAGAAACTGCATCCGAAGTGCCTCGCACACAGGGGCGGCCCTTGCGGCTTGCGGGGCGGGGGCTGTGCGGGTGTCGTGTGTGCGCGCACGCGTGCGCGACCCGGCGCCAGGAGTGCCGGCTGTGTCGTGTCCCTCCCGATGCGGCCTCCCTCTGTCTCTTAAAGGGGAGGGGAAACGCCGTCCTCGCTCTGTCTACTCCCTTCCAGTTTGTATGCCCGCTTCTCGTACTCATTCCCTCTCGTCTCTCTCTCTCTCTCCCCCCTCCGCAATCAAAGATGGCCGATACCACCTCCACCGGCTTCGCCAACGAGATCAAGCTCTTCGGCAAGTGGTCTTTCGACGATATCCAGGTTAAGGATCTGTCCCTTGAGGACTACCTCGCCGTCAAGGTCAAGTCCGCCACCTACCTGCCCCACACCGCTGGCCGCTATGCTGCCAAGCGCTTCCGCAAGGCTCAGTGCCCCCTGGTCGAGCGCCTGACCAACTCCCTGATGCGCAAGGGCCGCAACAACGGCAAGAAGCTCCAGGCCATCCGCATTGTCAAGCACGCCTTCGACATCATCCACCTCATGACCGACAAGGTGCGTCTCGTCTTCCTCTCGCGCTCATGATCATCCTCGCTCCCTTTTCTCCCTGGCCCCCTAGTCCGAAGGGCGAGAGGAGTCCTGTGTCATGTGCAGCCCCCCTCGCGCGCGCATACA